GGCACCATGGTGTCAAAACATCCAAGGACACTCTACTAGAGACAGTAAACCAGAAATTACATATACAGAGCTAAAGTAATATTAGGCAGCTATCCATGACCCAAAGATGGCTACTTTGACCCAGGCAAAAAACAGTACAAAATAGAAAAGTTGCAGCAACGTATGAATAAAACAGCCAGTGATGGCTAGGCATGGGACTATGAGATTTTGACGGCATGATATCCTTAAGCAAAATATCACAGCTCTCACAGTATCACGTTATTGCGATTACAGCTCTAAAATGTATTATTTTTAAATGTCTGTGTAAAAAACATCAACTTATTTCTACTGAACACATATACAACATATTCAAACATAAACTACTGCTGCTAAGAATAATATCAAATAACTATAAAATCGATTATTGTTATTCAGTGTTGATAAGCATAAACACATGAGGAGAGAGAGACAGCCCGAATGTGACTCACACACAGACCCGTCTGTTGCGCGGTCTCTCTCCATACAACAGAAAAACAGTGGAAAAGACCCTAGCATCGGTCTTAGCCTCCTCGTCAGTGTGTACCGCCTTCTGTACCCGAGGACGGCGGTTTGAGTCAGGACCGATTACACGAACACTATCAGATTGATGCAAATTTTCATTTTAAGATAGTGTTACCTTGAATTTAGCGAGAGCATGCAACTGTTTTTAAAAAAACTTTGCAGAGGTACAATTAATGCTAAAAAAAAATACCCATAATGACCTCATCCTTAATTTAATTTCATTATTGCGGATTATTTAAGCTAACTGTCACAAACCACTAGGACCGGCTGGGCACTACTGCCCACATCCACCTGACACCCTGCCATCCTGCAGCCACAGACACACCAGCAGCTTCAGACTGGAGACAGACAGACAGGTGAACTGACACACCTGCAGCTTCTTCTCTGCTGAATAGCTGCAGAATTAACACGTTTCTTTAGTTCTGTTCTCACACATCACATGACCATTTTCACAAAATAATGAGTAAATCTGGGTATAAGAAACATCCATTTCCATTGCATTATTTGTACTTTCCAGAATGTATTCGGGTACACCCCAATGTATGTGTGTTTTTGTATTTTGTATGAGTTGTAGATGGCATTTATATGTTTATCATCATCAGTTGTATTTGGACATGTTTAACAGAAAAGGTACTAAGGAGAAAGTAGCTAATAGCAGTAGAGTTGAAGAAGTCGTCAGTATGTGTTGACTGAGTTATGTAAGTATGCACATGACACAGAGCTGACCTAAACTGTATCTTTATAATTCCAACAGAAATTAAATGTGTTGCACCACAGTGAGTTTCTTGTCCTTCTTGCCCCTCTAACATGATGTCCATTCATGTCAGAAGGAAAAGGTGTTTATAGCTGTTCTAAACAGCCACGCTCGGGTGGCGGGTGAAAAGCAGTCATTGAGAGCAGGGAAACGTGGGAGTTTGGTGTGACCATATGGCATTATTTGGTGTTTTGAACTGCTTCTGTTTCCTTTATTCAAGTTCTTCCCGATTCCAGCCTTACTTTTTCACTTAATTGTCTACATCTTTATCAAAATCAAAATCTGCACATTTGAATAAGAGGAATGAAAAAAAATAGACAAAACTTACCAATGAGAATATCGTAGCTTGTGTCTTTTTCTTATCTGATCTGACATGATTGTCTGGACCTATATATGGGACTCTATATACTATATACTACATACTATACTACATATACTATATGAATTGTGGCTGTTGTGGGGATCAAATCTGTACTCTTCTGGTTAAATGACAACCACTGGTCTTTGTTGGTCAGCATTTTTCCTTGTGACCGATGTGGATCAGTAAACCTGTAAGTCTTATTTGAGAGTCCCTTTCGTTTAAAGCTGATCTGGTTTCACATCTAACAGGCTCATTAAACTCAAAAGGAAAATTATTTGCTCAGCTAATTTATGCATCAATAAATGAAAGACTCTCCCTTGAGCAAGCATAATGTTAAATATTACATGGCTGAAACCACCATGGCTCTTTCTATTGTTAGAAAGAGAACTAGCACAGTGCTTAGTGAGTAAAGGCGCATTTTAGGAAGTATGCTGAGCTGGCAAATTTCTGTCCACTTAGCAATGCCAAAATACAGCATTGGAGAATAGCATATTTTTCAACATTGACAAGGGAAAAACATTACTTCTCTCTATGATTATGCCCATCTTCTAGCTAAAGCTAGCAAACAACAATTTCCATTTGCATTGCTCAAGTTTGATTAACTTGCCTGTCCAGCAGAAAACAGGTAACTTTTGTCCTGCATAAGCACCTTCCAACTGGGAAAAGCCACACTGATGTTTATCCTTGATTTCTGCCGTCATCTGTCCCAACTTTGCTGGGCTTCATCATGTTTCCCTTCGTGCTAAATGATATGTGTGGTCCTCTATTTGTCCAAATTTCACTTCTCTCCTTACGTCTAATAAACCAGACTATTACTTCTTCTACTTCGTATTCAAGGTAGTGACTAAACGCACTCTGTAGGGCAGTTTGTCCGTTTGGGTTGTAGAAACATGGCAGAAAAACATGGCGGGGGGTCCGCAGTGTATATAGATAGAAATGGCTCATTCTAAGGTAATAGAAACATAATGGTAATTATGTAATATAAAGATATTATACACCACTGAAAACATAGTTATGGATATTATATTGCATTTCTGTCAATAGATCCTCCTAAATATTCCACACTGAACCTTTAGGACATCGATATTTAACAGTGAAATTAGTTACCAGTACCAGACAGAGCAATGTCTGGTCAACTCTGCAGAGAGGGACACAAACAGAACCAGCTGTTTGCACAGCTGAGGACCTCAAATATGGCCGACAGACAGTAAATCACATGAAAGCCCTTTATTCACTTCTTACCTCTCTACATCCCACCTGAGCCAGTTCAGACAGGCCAGTCTGTCTTCCCCCTCTACTTATGGCCTTACATGATTACACCACATTATTATCCTAGCAGTACCCTGTGTGTCCCGCTGTGCTAAGCTCTGTTCATGCGTACTCACCTGTAATTAACCCTTCTGTTTATTGTCCTACATTATTACATACAGCCTATGTAGAGCTGCTTCTAGTTTCAGCCTGCACAAGTATGGCTGTCATGGCGAACACCTGTCCAGGTGAGTTGGAAATCAGTGCAGGGTGCCTAAAGTTTAAAGGCGCACCTGCTGTCCTGGAATCAGCAGAAAGAACAGCACTGTGCTGTCATTTCAGCTCTCACTCTGGGACTCTTGTGGCCACATTGTCTGAACTGTATTCACATCAGTATTACAGCATTGCAACTACCAAGTGGATCTGGAATTCATTCTGCTAAAGGAAATTAATTACCTCACAAAACCTCAGAGATCATATGCTTCAGTTACAGCTTTGTTTTGATTCTGTAAACCTCATATTGATTACTCAATGAAGCAACTGTTGCACTGTAAAAGCCGTGAACACACATTTTTCATTTTCTTATTTGTTCATACTCAAACTTTTATTACCATTAAACTTAAAGATCTACCCTTGTAATGTGCATCAGTGTTCTCATGCCGTTTTTGTAGGCTGAGTTCTTAGAACTATAAAATTAGGTATAGGCCTGGCATATCCAATCCACTACTGTTCAGGGCCCACTAAAGCATTTAGTTTATTTGAAAATTGTAGTGTTGTGTTTTGGGCTGTAGGCCAACAAGCCAGACCAGTGAAAAACAGTGGAAAAGAGCCAGTTTCAAAAAATAAGCTATCATTCAATCAGCAGGCGTGTGAGACGCAAACTCTTTCTAATGCATCATTATTACAAAGGAAAATCATTTCACATTAGACCCTCTGCTGATTATAAAATAAACATTAAAATAGGCACTAACAGTCAGGAGTCTACAGCCATGCTAGCAGCTGTGGTTATACAGTAGGCTGTACTGCACACAGGTGCTTTGAGCTAAATGCTAACATCAGCATGCTAACATGCTGACAATGACAGCAGGTATAATATTTACTGCATTTACCATCTTAATCTAGCATGTTAGCATTCCAAAATGTTGCGAAAACAGTGGAAACCACTTATAGCCAGTGTTCACACTCAAATTTAAACAAGCTAACTCAAAGTTCACACAGATTAAAATGAACTAATACACGTTAATAGTTCACAAATGAAAAAAATGGACCAGAGACCCAAGTCCAGACCAGAGTGGTGAACAAACCAACCACCTATCAGACGAACATTGCCATCCCTAGATCCATGCTGATAGCACAGCTGAAATGCAATTTGATTTCAGTTTTAGACTGTCTTTCAATGACGCTATGACCAGAATAGTTTAAAACACAATTATTGCCCACTCTGTCCAGACCTGGTTCTATGAGGGTGAATTATAAATAACAATAACATATTATAATAATGTAAAAAAATCCCAACTGTAATGACAACCTGTTCTCACTACTAACTCGTCACATGGACACGTGGTAAAGACCCATCGGCTTCAGTTTGTAACACACTGGGGAACCCTATAGCGTCAATATTCAAGTAGTGGGGGAACACTAGGGCTGGGGCGATTCGTCGACGTAATCGATTACGTAAATACGTCGACGCATCGCTGCATCCGGTGTGGGATTATCCCGGACAAGCTCCAGCTACAAGACCGCGCCTTCGACCGTCTAAAGTTTGGAGTATTTCAGACACTCAACAACGTGCTGCTCCGTGAGCTCTGTGAACTGGAAACAGCTTCACTGCTGCACAACTGCTGTCCACGAATACATGAAGCAGCACGAACACGTGAAACGAAAGTATCCCGCAGCACTTTGTCTAGACGGCAGCACCGCAAATCGTGTTTACTTTCTGTCGTTGTTATTATCACAACACATCAGTGAGTGGAAATGTGATTCATTTTAAGATTTGCTGCTATTGTCATTATTCTAATGTGCTTCATTAGGATGATTGAATAAAATATAGATTTATTGATTAGACATGTTTTTGATATTTATTTTGGATAATCGAGTAATAGGCAACTTTTCTTTCTTTAGAATAAACAAAATTAGTCGTTAGATTAATCGTCTAATCAAAAAAGTAATCGTTAGATTAATCGACTTGAAAAATAATCGATATGTACAGCCCTAGAAAACACTGAGTAAGGAGGTGGTTGGGGTGGTTCAAAGTCCGGGTTCTGGCCTGGACTATTTTTTACAGGTTAGGGATGCATACCTCTAGTGATAGGGTTGACTAATTCATGTACTCTAAGGTGCTGTCTAATTAATGTGCTGTTTTTTTTCTTGTTGATTTTCTAGCAAATAAGCTCACTGTCAGCAATGTTATTGTTAATATTTTGGCACAGTGTTTAGTATATGTGAATAGACAAGCTAAGGTTTTAATGCTGTCCTTAAAGCAACATTGTATAAGACGTTTTTGGTGCGATTTGGCACCCCTACCATTTGTGTAATTCACCACTGTCGTAAATAAAAACAGCTGTACACGTACATTTGTTATGATTACATTACAATAAAAAATCAGCAAGTCACCAACTTTGCTAACGCAGCCAAACTTCATGAAAGTCCAACAACACAAGACATAGAAATATTACTTACTAGTCCAACATCAACAGCAGTCTTTTGCTTGGTCACTGTATGTTTCTCTTCTTAGCTTCCTCTGTCAGCATCCTCTTTCGTATATTCGCCTTGACTATTAGCTAACGTGATGTCCATAGAGGCTGCTGAGCATTCAGCGGAGCTGCTCAGCATAATGTTGCTTGAAACTTGAATGCAAGCTAGCCAACAAAGCGCAAAAGCAACCAACGTAAGAGCACTTACTGAAAACGTTATCGATGTCAGAGTGTTTTATGTAGTAAGTTTGCTAACATTAACTTGAGATTCATAACTAGCATTTATGAATCTGATGATCATAATGTCGATTTGTTAGACATGAATTCATGCTTTGTCAGGTCTGTCAGCAAGTCAGCAGGACAACAACTTTTAAAATGTTTGTTTTCTGAATGGAGTTCAGATGCTATGCTATGCTAACCTGTTCACAGTAAAGTACAACGATACCTGGAATATAGTTACAGACACATTTTCTGAACTCACCAGGTAGTTCAACTTCCTCGCTTTCTTTTCTCCCAGCAATGTCCAGTTTTGTCCGGTTTTTATATAAATATGAAGTAGTAGTCCAGCAGAACTCTGGTGCCATCCGACGCTAACAACAACAGTGGAAACTTATGTGCACGGAAGCTAGCTGCTGAGAAGCGCGAGTGAAGATAAATCAAGTTGTAATCCCAAAAACTAAAGTAAAAAGCTAATTTAATAAAAGCAGTTAACTCTGAGCTCCTACCGTGAGTAAATGGCGTAGTTGTCAAGAAAAATTACTCGCAAGTTGGAAAATTTAAACTTGCATGAACCAGCGAATGTCACGATAAACGCCTCTTTCGCAGGAATTTGCCTCTTCGCGTTGCTCTCTCTTTTTCTCTTCCTCGGACTTCTTCTTCAGTCTCTTTGTAGCCTCTGCCATGATATCAATACTGAGAATACCAGGCTAGCTGTTTCCAAAGAACTTACATTGTACATTCTATACTTTTGCTTCCTTTTATATTACCAGCACCAGACAGAGCAATGTTTTATTTCCTGTTTCAAGAGTTTCGTTGAAGTGTTGTGGTGTCGTAAAGCATTATGCTGTTCTCGCAATACAAATCGTGCACAGGATTTCAATCCTATGTAGAGCTAGACAAAGCGTCAGTGACGTCATTCACCATCAAAATGAATTTGAAGCTGTCTTTAATATGGGATTAATATTCTACATAATGTTGCTTTAACTATGTTATCATAACTTTGGATTTTATTTGTTCTTAATAAACCTGATAGCTGTAGCTTGTTAAATTTGCTTTAAGTCTACGTTTCATACTTAGTGTGTTTAGAATATGTACTCACCTACTCATGTCTTGTCAAGTATAATAATAAAACAATATAATATTTACTTTATTGTCCCACTGGGAAAATTATTTTTTTCCCTCTGTTGCTGGCCTGAGCACAAACAGAAACCTATGCATTTGCAGTTGATGTCAGAGTGATGGGTAACCACAGTGCAGTGTCTAAGTGGTTAAAAGCAGATGCAAAAAAAAAATCAGTGGTGGTACAGTTTAGCAGCAGTGTGCACAAAGCACTTGTCTTTTATAGGAATCACCAGCCAACAGACTGATTGACTTTTCTGTTCAAAACCCTCTGCGTCATTAACAAGACGAGGGCTGCTACACTATGTGAGGGTTCGTAAACCAAATAACAACTGCAAGGCATGAACAAACAGAAATGCACATGCATTTAAATGCATGCAATTAATTCATGTATGCATGCATACACACAGTAGATACACACATACATACAAACATACGTACACATACACCTAATGTAAAGACGACATATACCTATATCTATGTACTCATCCATTCTCAATCTTTCTCTGTCTCGTTCACTGTCTTTAGTCTCTTTCTGTGTGTGTGTAAACACACAGTCTTATCCACAAAAAACAGCCTCTATCCATGAGGACCTCAATTTTTGTCTCCACTGTGACACAAGGCCCTATGGACTAGTGTGCATTCAGGTTAAAGTCCCCAGCAGGATACAAGAACATGAAACAAATACACACTCAATCTTTTTCTTTCTTTTTTTTTATCAGTTTATAGCTTCAGTGGAGGGTTTGTGTTTAGATTGTAAAACTCCATCAGACCACAGAGAACTATGGCAATTAATCAGCGGTATCACACTAATATGAATCAGGTCAGAGGATATTTTATTTTGAGTAAGCATGGCAGATTAATTATAAAAGTGACATTTAAAGGGATTTTGATCACAGTGCATTTTTACCATTTATAGTAACTTACAGTAAGTTACCATACTTTTAAGTGAATGGAATTCAAATCTATTAAATCTGCAAGGCACTATTTTCTGTAGAGGCCAACTTTGAGTTAAAACCTATAAAAACAAATTGAGAAAACATGGTAATTGGAATTGTTTGTTTTAATATACAGAAAACATAAATATCTGAATTCAGTGAGGTCAGTGACCATATCACTAACTGCATAGAAAATAATTAGAAATACCATTTGAACAATATTCAGAGTGTATTTTTATTTATAGTCTAGTTGTACCTTTTATGCATAATATAAACCACATTGTAGAACATTTTGCCCCAACAATACCTACCCTGTCTCCCTACAAGCTTCCGTGGTATCAGTATTATGTTAAATATATTAGCTAACATTAAAAACGCAGGTCACGTTTCTTTAACATTGTGTGGAAGTCGGGTACAGTGCCCAAGGAGTGGCAGACTGGGGTGGTGGTTCCCCTGTTCAAAAAGGGGGACCAGAGAGTGTGTGCCAATTACAGGGGTATCACATTTCTCAGCCTCCCCGGTAAAGTCTACTCCAGGGTGCTGGAACGGAGGGTTCGGCCGATAGTCAGATTGAAGAGGAACAATGTGGTTTTCGTCCTGGTCGTGGAACAACTGACCAGGTCTTTACTCTCACAAGGATCCTGGAGAGGGCTTTGGAGTACGCCCATCCAGTCTACATGTGCTTTGTAGATCTGGAGAAGGCGAATGACCGGGTCCCCCGGGAGATACTGTGGGAGGTGCTGGGGGAGTATAGGGTGAGGGGGGCCCTTCTCAGGGCTATCTAATCCCTGTACATCCAAAGCGAGAGCTGTGTCCGAGTACTCGGCAGTAAGTCGTACTCTTTCCAGGTGAAGGTTGGCCTTTGCTAGGGCTGCGCAATCCTGATTGTGATATTCATGGACAGGATATCGAGGCGTAGTCGTAGCGAGGAGGGGCTGTGGTTCGGTGGGCTTGGGATCTCGTCACTGCTTTTTGCGGATGATGTGGTCCTGATGGCATCAACGGTCCGTGACCTTCAGCTCTCACTGGATCGGTTCGCAGAGCTAGATGGAGCCAGTATTCCATATATGGTAATTTCCCCCGCACAACAACGCTCAGTCTGTCTGTACTGCTCATTGGCAACAACAGCCTGGTAACATGCAAAAGGCCAATCAGAAGACAGTAGGCTTTGAGAGGGAGGGCCTTAAAGAGAGAGGACCATCTACAGCTTGTTTCAGAAAGAGGCTGAATTGAAGCCCTGCATGAAGAGTCAGTATAAGACAGAAAACTATTTTGAATCATGCAAAGCTGCCATACAGGAGTCAAAGAACTACAATATAGCACTGGAAAAGCAGTATAATACGTCTCCTTTAAGCAGTACTGTTTCTGTGGTGTGAGGTACCCTGAAACCTGACTGAAAGTTTTCCAGCAGATTGTTTTCGGTTAAAAATGAGGAGAGTTGAGAAAGAACCACCTCAACATAAAACATAATTTAGAAATGGGTCTAAAATTATTCAAATGGGTCTAAAATTATTCAAATCCATAGGATTGGAATTTTTTAATAAGAGGATGAACCACAGCATGTTTAAAAGTGGATGAAACAATTCCATTTAAAATAGCTATTTATTATAGACAAAAGGCTAGGACCAACAGTATCTAAAACCTCTTTCAAGAGATGTGAGGGGACATCGTCTGTAGGAACAAAAGTAGGCTTCATGTCTGAGGCTATTGTGGTATCCGAACAATATCCATCAGTTCTGACAAGGCCACAGGCTCAAAACAATTGAGAGAAACAGGGCATGGGGCTCGCTCAGATGGGTTGATATTGGAAGGTGACATACCAGATCTAATGATGTTAACCTTGTCAATAAAGAACCTCAAAAACGTCTCCTTAATTTCAGAGGTAGTATCAGGGAGTGCAGTAGCATAGTTTAGAGCAGTGTTTATTACACTAAACAAGGTTTTAGGGTTGTGTGGATTCTGAGCTATAATATCTGAGAAATACTTTGGCACGATGTTAGGCAGTTTCTCTGTATTTCATAGGACACTTGCAGATTATTCTTCCAATTCCTCTCCCCACCTGCATTCTTGTCTAAGGGCATGACTCTCACTATTAAGCCAAGGTTGAGCTAAGCATAAAGGACCTCTTGATCTGAATGATGGTGTCATGCATGTTTTTGTTGCTTTCTTTGCATTACATTACATAGTCATGCATTTGTTTTTTTTCATTACATATTAGATACTACAGACAGTTTTGAATGGCGTTAATGATATTTATTAATATCTTATCAAAACGTGATCTATGTACAATTCATTCCTTCACAAGTCCTGACACACATCATCTTCCATCTACTGGTAGTGTGAATTGCGTTTGTTCACTTTCAGCGATCATTTGATCTTTTTTGGTTCCTTGGATTGAAACATTGTCTCTGTGAAACGTGACCAAACCTACATTTTGTTATTTGTAAAATTGTCTCTGGGTGTGGTGTTAGACAAAGCCTGCCTCTGTTCTGTAGAGTTTTATGACTGTGTACCTTAACAGGGGATCACTTAACAGCTGTTTTGATGTCAGAGCAAAGGTCAGCAATTTAAAAACAATTATCATACAAACACATTATTTTCAACCTTCAAGTAATTTTTCATTCAAAAATTTCACTCACATATCAGGAATATTTTACAGTAAAGGCACAGAGGCAAGATCCATTGTAGACATTTTCCTGTGACACAGAACATATTGAACAGCAACATTTACGTGCTAGAACAATTTCTTGATGAGCAGCGGGCTGCAGTTCTAAACTTAACCATTGAACCATTGATTTCAGTAGATGTAGAGGATAATAGTAAAGGCTGCAGTTACACTTATGCACTTACAGTTTTGTATGAGAATTTTTTCAGCATGTTTGTTGACAACAAGATCATGCAATGAGTGAAACTCTGCTAGAAGCACAACTGATGTACACAACCGCTCTGCCTCTAGTTTTCTACGAATTGAATCGGTTCTCTTTACTCTCTTTACCATGAAATAGCCAAATGTGTCAGTGAATATCAATTTACACTTTACAGTTGTACAAATAAATAAAATCAGCAGTCATTAGTATTACAGCAGAGAAAACAATGAAAACTCCAAAACCATAATATGTACATCAATGTCTTCACTTGGTGCAATTGTGCTTTTATAGATGCTGACTTCAAAATGTCTTTTTGTGTTTCTTTTTTCATCTTCGCTCCCCTTCACCTAATCAAAATCACATCAAACAAACACACAAACTCATATGTGCACACTTACTGTGGCTTTGCATTGTTTGTGTCTTTGCATACCACACCAGGGGGGCTCTTTAAAACATCACTGGTTGGGCATAAGGGTCAAAGAATCTCAAAAAACAACATTGCCTGTAATGAAAGGTGACAAATCTGAGGATTTAGAAGGTGTTTGAGTTACATTAAAGTGCAGGAATGCTCTAGCAGCCTATCATTCTGAAGAGCTGACCACCAGATGTAAGTATCGAAATAGAAATTCAAGCATTTGCAGGAATGTTAGCATGTACTGAAGACTACCAAAGGTACTGACTTCTCCACTCAGGCTTAAGATAATTTATAAGAGGATATGTCAAGAAACAGAAGCTCAAAGTATTATGTATGGCTGGCAAAAATTTGAATTTACAATATTTTATGAATAATGGTATATAGTCTGTGTCAGTCTGTATCAGTTTTGTTAGAAATTACAGAGAAATAAAGAGTAGATATTCCTAGAAAATAAATAAAAATAAAAATCATACAAAAGATTTAACTCTAGTTTAGACTGAAAATACGATGCATTTTTCCACCCTGATGATGTTATGTAGATTTCTGAAATGAGTATACTGTGGCTTAAAGAGTAACACCAGGCTGACAAGCAGTGTTCCACTGCCCTCTCTGGCTGAAAGTTTGAATTCTGCAGTAAGATGAGTAGTTACACCACTGAAGGTTAGCAAAAACAAGTTTTTCGATGTTAAGTTACTCTTTAAGGATTGTTATGGCGTATCCTGACTGAATGCAAAGATTTTTTAAAGCTGCCATTGCATACAAGAAAATGGAAATATGCAAGTGCACACAGAGACAAATTTGCTCCATGAAACCGAACTCTGAAAGAAGGTGGATGAAAGTGGCATTGATGCAAGTTGAATATTTTAACTGGAGTCAAAATTTTGCTCTACTACCCATTGCTGTGTGAGTCCTCTTTATCAATATACATACATAAAAGTCTCAGCTGGTGGCTCAGTTGATAGATTGGCTGTTTGGGGTTAATAAACATGGACTGTACCAACAATCTAATGGACAAAGTCATAAGAAAAAAGCAAGACAAACACTTGTTTGGTATTAAATCTGAATGCATCTTGAAGCTGGCAGTTTGCTCCAAAAGCAACTGAATTTGGCAGGTTTGCACAGACATAATGTTAGCTATGCTACTGAGGCCCTCATCCACACTACTACGTTTTTGTTTAAAAACTGAGTTTTAAAACGAAAATTATCTCCGTCCATCTAGTGGCCGTTCAGGTACAGTGGGCATGTGCATGTCGGTGTAAACATGGTTGACGATGGATAGATGATGGATGGATGGACCAGTAACGACCTGGAACTGGAGTTTAAAGCAGCTGTGGCGGCGGAAAACAGACTGAGAGTCGTTGCAAAGTAAATAAGGTAACATGCACAGTAAGTGTAGGCTATAAACGACAACGCAATAGTGTGGATGGGGCCTGAAAAGGTTTGCGTTCTGGCCAACCTACTGAATTTGGTGAAAGAATTTCACAGCCTTGTAATACACTTTTTGTCAAGTAGTAAACATTGGCCTCCAGTTAAAAAGCAGTGTCGTGTGTTTGGTGTTGTTTTAGATAAGACCTGTCAATCACATGTTTCCATTTCATGTTTGTACTGTAGTGAAACTCTGTGGTGCTGTTTTGACTTGGCAAGCATCGCAATGTAGATAGCATTAATTGAAGTATACAGGGAGGATACTGCTATTTGTTTGCAGCAGCTTATTTGAAAGCCTTGGGGAGTGTGGAAAATTAAATTTTGTTTGACGCAGTTTCTGTCTGGTTTTACACTATCTCTTCCCTCTGCTCTAGGTTGGCAGGCTGGATGTTGGCCTTGGGACTACGACGCTGGCTCAGTCCCAGTGTCTCCCCTCTTGCTTTGAGCAGTTGTTCTGGTCCCCAGTGAAGGCAGAGGGGGCAAGGACATGAGGCGGGATGGTGCATGATGCTGGTGGAAGGGTAGAGGGCTGCTGTGGTTGGAGGCAACCCTCCTGGTCTGTTGTGGTACTGGGAGAGGCGGAGTGCATCCAGGGTCCTCATGGGTGCGCTGTAGCGACTGTGTGCTGAGGATGCTGGTGAGGAGAGAGATAGGGGGTAGTGGTGGTGGAGCGGGAGGGGGGGTGGCATGAAGGGGTATGTCAAGGTGGAGGAAGGGGAGGCACGGCCCATCAGGAGTGCCCCCAGAGGGTCGACGAGAGGGTGAGGCCACGGTAAGGAGTGTCTCTGCCGTTTGTCCTTCATCCTCCTGTTCTGGAACCACACCTGGAGAGAGGAAAGGAAGGAACAAAGAAAGAATTAAGGTAAGGAACATCAAAAGGAGTACAACAAGGAAAGAAGGAAGAAACACAGGAAGAAGGGCGACAAAGTTGAGAAGACGACAATGCAGATTTGAATAAGGTGAGAGAAGACAGGAGTGTGTAACCCCCCCTCCCCTGACACACAAACCCCACACGATTATAGGCAATCCTTGACAATTCTGATTCAACTATGTAAATCCCAAATCCTTAGTCGGGGGCACCCCTCCTTGGACCCCTACCCCTATCTGCTAATTAGCACTAAACACAAAGTAGTACAGCTGAGGCTGATGGGAATGTCATTGGCTTTGTAGGTATTTGGTCATAAATCAAATTATTGAAACGTTTAAATTTAGACCTGACATGGGACATCAGTTAATGTTATTATGATTCATCATGTAGGGAGCATGAGCGTCTGTCACAAATTACACTACAATCTATCCACTAGTTGTTCAGATATTTCCCTCAAAACAAAAATGACAACCTGATGGTGGCACTGGATTAAAAGTCAGAGGATCATCAAAGTCAATAAGATTAATCCTGTGGGGAACATGAGTGTCTGTACAAAAATGTCCACCTGTTGGTGGCTGTAATGTAGCAAGTCTAGTAAATAATAGGGACAAGTTATTGCTGCTCAGTGATTAGAGACTGAAGTGTAGCCTGTGGGCAGTGTGAGCATGTGTGACAACAGCAGTAGCATACACAGTAGCTGCAATGTATCTATGTCCCCAACATGGCTCCTATTAAAGCTTGGAAACTGAGAATACTCGCATAGACTGGTCATTAAACATTACAGTGGTAGTAAAGGAAAAGTCAAGGGATCCCCAAAGTCATAGTACATTGTGTGGGAACCATGTATTAACTGTAGATGTTCAAATAGTTCTGATAATTGTACTTAATATATCAAAATATTTAATTCCATTGCTCTTCACCAGATTCCATTTTTCTATATTATTCCTGCTTTTTTCTGTTGCTGGACTGACGTCTGTACCGTCTTGAAGCTTTAAAGCTGAGACTTACAAGCTGCTTGTGTGTCTGTCTGTCCAGTCCTCAACTATTTTACCAGCTCATAGAATCTCCCGAATAGGCTGCGCTTCTAAAACGTCAGGTGGCAGCATTTACAAGGCATTGCCTCACATTCCTGCTCTTTCATAAAAGACCCTCCAGTATTTGGCAGAAAGGTGGGTGCATTTACTGCGCATTAAAGCTGCTGCATTGGGCCAGACGCTCTCTGTGTCAAATGTTAGAAACTGCTAAACCTGTCACTGTTCAATCTACCACGCTGATTGAAATGACAAGTAAGGGGAGAGATGATGTTAACCTTACAGGAAATGTCAAAGGGGTGTTGTTGTTTAGGTTTTATTAGGCAGTTGTTTGAGATTTTTCACTTCCTGTTTTCACCTGCATGGTTTTATTTTTTGGGTCTATAAGCAACGACTGTGAACAAATGAGGTAAGACAACAGAATTTCATAAAGCCTGCCAATCAGTGAAGGTGACATATTATTGAGGAAAGCGCACTGTTGTTCTGACAGCTAGATGAAAAAATCAATATGGCTGTCGAGTAAGTGCGGTAAATACGGAGCTGTAGCTGAAGAGCAATTAGCTTAGCATAAGGTTGGAACCAGGGGCAAACAGCTGGCCCGGCACGGTTTTTTTTTTTTATACATTTGATGAAACAGATACTGTTTAAATTTTCAGAAAACCATATATTAGCTTTCTTGCTGAGGGTTAGATGAGAACAGCGATACCACTCTCATGTCTGTACAGTAAATATGTACCTGGAGCCAGCAGCCAGTAAACTTAGACTGGAAGACTGGAAACAGGGGGAACGACTATTCTGGCTTTGTCCTAAAAAAACACACTCTTCATATCAACTTGTTATATCCATACTAACGTGTAATAATGACAATAATCACAGTTTGTGTTGGACTATATTTTGTCTGGGACCAAATGTCAAACAATGAGTGACGACTCCAGCTCCATACTCAGACATCACATTGATATTAATCTTCTCATCTATCTATCTCTTGTAATGTATATGTTGAACTATTTCTTAAATACTGTCTCTCTATGTTAGTGGCTCCTCCCACCTTTGTCTGCAAACTGAATATTAGCTTAAACAGAAATTCAACCAAGGACGTACATCTAGAAAATAGATGGACAGACCAACCTTCAGTATCTGGTCTGGGACAATAATCAACACTGATGATACTAGTTAGCAAGCATCAGTCTTATCATATTGCTAACCATTTTCTCTATTTTAAGCTCCATCATGCTCTATTGAGCTGTGTGATGAGATTATTGTCTTTCAAAAAAAGAAGTGGAAAGCCACATTAAAAACTGTGTTCAAGGATGCTGATCGAGAAACATTGTTGCAGTTGATTTTGAAATGTATCTCTGTCCATAGGAAGAAGGATGTGTTGAGGCTTAGCAAAACTGTCTCCACACTGTCTAACTGGAATTATTTCTAATAAATGTCAGTGAAGTCAAAGCTTGATTAACCTGCATAGAGGACCTTGGTGCAAAAATGAGCTGCTGGGCCCCTACTGTTCCTCCCACTCTCTGTGCAGGCATAGGCCTAAACTATTCCTATGCTGGAATATAAAATGGACACATGATGTTTAATGTAAACATCTGTTTGTATGTTGCTGTATGATAATATGCTCTTTCTCTCGATTTCACTTATTTGATGGCATAGGCTGCAGATAAATGCTGAAGTAGCCTAACTGTGAGTTGACATGTGATTTGTACCCTTATAAAATGTCACTGGCTCTTACCCTCACTGACAGCAGGGCTTGTGCTACAGCACAGTAGCCTACCTTTATTGTTGTCTCAGGTAAGTTGAGCGCCGTGGCCAGTTCGCAGCGCCGGGGTCTGGAAACGTAGCTCTCCTTTCCATACTCCTGCTCCAGTCGGGACAGCTGTTCCCGCGTGAAGGCTGTCCGGTGTCGCCTGCTGTGGTCGAGCAGCGTGGTACGCGGGCATGGCTCCGTCTGATCCTTCTCGCCGTGCGCAACAGCGGCAGTCGCCATTGGCGTCTGTCTGCCCTCCGCCACTGAAAGGACGCACACGGATCAGCACGAGTATGCAGTGGGCATAATAAGGCCGAATATGAGGCTCTTCCTGTTGCGCCTTTAGTAATGCAGCCCTAATGCCTCAGAGTAGGAAATCTAAACTACAAATAGACTTAGCACAGGCCATAAAGTACATTGCTGTATGCCTATAATTAGACTACATTTTAAATGCAACATTGTCACAAAGTAAATGCCAATATACCTAGAGATTAGGCCTGTACTTCTTAAACCAAATATTGTGGTTGGGGTCCTGGAGACCCAGGGTCCAGCTCAAAAAAATGAGCTACTTAACATTGCTTTATCAGCTTGTTACTTGACGACTTTTACTGATTTCATATCTGTGATTGGTGTTAGCAGTAGTTTTCACACATTAGCCTACTAGTCCTCCTAAACCCCAAGTAAGTTTATTAGGACTTTTATAACACTTCATAAGAGCTCTAGCAGGGACATCAACCTCTCTTGGATCAAGCAGACACCAAACATATAAGTAACACCCCTCTGTAGGATAACATGGCCTACTCTACATTTCTTTGTCTGTGAATAACGTTTTGGGTAAACAGAAGGATTATACTGTGTTCATGCCTTGCTATTATAGCATCTAAAACATGAACCTTTTCTTTATTTGCTGGATTAACAATGGTTTATGGTCATTTCCATATTTTGGGAGTTCAATACCTTTCTACATATAGGGTTTAAATAAGGTCAGAAGAAAATAAAAAAAGAATCTGTTGAAGTTAATATTATTATTAACTACACATTCAGCAGTGGAGGAAACACGGAGGAAGTAAAGCCAATGTCAACAAAACACAAAGGTTAATCCTATTTACATTTTGTGTTTAGGCCATTTTATTTACTTATTGAAGTAAGAAGTTATTTGTTGGCTATATTTGTCTGTAACAGAAGTGCAGACAGTTATCTCTGTTCCCGTTTATTAACTCGAAAATAATTGGAACTCATAGTGAACAAAGTTTGCTCAAAAGCAGATTTTTCATTTACTTACGCATCAGGTTTGTGATTTATAAAAAAATCCCTCCTATTTTCTCTTTAGTCCTTTAGGTCAAATATCCCCCCTCTGCAGGCTGGGCTGCGCTTCAGAAGGCCGGGGATGAAGCTGGCTGCAGTCTAGGCAAAAACTTCTCGCCTATCACTCAACTCACACTTCACCCTGTCTGTTCAGACAGTCAGGGAGAAGATGGGCTGTTTTTGTCCCAACACCCCCTCCTCCTTCTCCTCCTCCTCCCCCGTGTTCTCCCCCTCCGCTACTGTCTGTCTTCTCCGGGGCTTCTCCCCTCTCCTCCTCTGTCCCTATGGCCTATTGCGGGCGCTCCAGACGGGCCGTGGTGTGCGCGTCGGCCCGGCGCGGCGCCGCGGCCCGGAGAGGTGTTAAAGGTGTTTAGGGATAAAGCCTTTGGTCTCCGGCTCGGCCTTTGTACTTTTGTTATGGAGAATTATAGACGCACAGGCAGAGACAGCAGACAGACCCTCATTGTTCTCCGCCGTTTGATCTTTGCGGGTTTGGAAGTAAATCATTACAGGCCTAATGGCTCCAAATTGGCCGAGTGGGAGCACGGTGGAGAGGAAATATTAGTTTAGATAAAATTATGGCAATAACTGTCGGTATTATAGGCTACTGTATTTTTAATCATTTATTTTCTGCCTTATAGGCTACCAGATTTTCTATAAAGACTTTCTTATTTGAGTCCTTTTTGAATTTTACATTTTATTAATCCTGTTCTTTTCCAAAGTGATGGTACCCTACAAAAATTATGGTTTAATATATTTTCACTTAGGCCTATAACTGAAGTAGATTAATCTTGAAACATTTAGCCTACTTTTCATTTATGACGCTTCTGTAGGCCCTTTTCTATAATAAAATGTTTTTTATTTTTATTTTTGTGTGGATATAACCTAAATTAAGTAGGCTAGGCTACACCAGTAATTTTATTTAGAAATAAAACTAGTAGCTTTGAATATCGCACCAGGTGATTTGAAGAAATATTCTCTTTTTGTTTTGATCATGCCTTTAAATAATAACCAGTTATGACAATAAGACTGTGCAGATTAATTTAGCTTTATGTAGCGTAATAGCAGTGCAGTATCAATCAAAACGCGATCCTTTAAGTGTATAGCTTTGCCTCCAGTGTAGAAACTGACCCTTAAACCTCTGTTTTGGATGTTATTATGGCTATAATCTGCGTTGATTGTTAATCCAGCGGCCAGGTGATGATAAAGAGGACAGGCGGAGAACAGAGACAGACAGACGCCAGGTAGGGTGGAGTCAGTGTTGCATGCAGGACATTTGTCATTGTAAAAAAAACACTCAGGCACTATGGAAGACTCACATTATGTCATTCCTAAACTGTCCTATAGGCTACTTCAGACTATTAGAATCATAATATTTTTTACTTCTGAATAGATTCACACTGCTCCTATGGTTTGCTGTTTTATGACTGTTTGTGTGTCAAAATCTTTTTTAACCTTTTGTTGTGTTGACATTACTTCCTGTTACTGTTTTGAGTCATACCCCACTGCTGTGTGTAAAAATAAGTCATAATTTTTGCAGTTTTTTTAATTTTGCCTGTCAAATAGGGTTCATATTTTTGTTTTTTCACATTTTTTTTTCTTTTAACTTGTTTTTTAGCCAAACATGGGGAAAAGTATTAAAAGTGGTAATCTTTTGTCACAAACTGGGCTGCACATTTGAAGATGACAACCTATGACCATAAATATGTAGATAGCCTTTTTATTAATTATGTATGTATTTATAAATACAAAAAGAAATATGAAAGAAATCAAAGGAAATATTTTCATGTTGCAGCCCTAATAAATCAGCTGAATAGTAGGTTCATGTTATTTCTAATGGAACCAGACTTCTTTTTGCAACCAGAGGAGTCGCCCCCTGCTGGCCGTTCGATGGGATGCAGGTTTAAGTTAGGGAGACCGGGTATGGTTGTAACACTTTTTGCTTTGGCAACTATAACTCGCTGAATTTTTTTTGCTAGAGTTCTCGGACTTTTATACAAAGTACCCACATTTGTTCACTACAAATGGCACCAATTCAGTCTTCTACAAGAATATCACAGACCTCGTGAGTTGATGTCATATACATTGTGTTCCCTTGTTACACATGCGGGTGGTAAGTTGTAACAATAAGACAAGAAGCAAAAATAGATGCCACACTATATGATATGCTTCAAAAACAGGTAATTATATAAAAGAAAAATGCTTCTGTCTCACTGTAATAGACTGTCTGATGACTCCAGCCTGTTCTCGTGCTCAGGCGTCACATATACACGCTTTGGAAAAACCGTGGCTTTTGTACGCAATATGGCGATTTTGCGTGTTTGTGATATGCCCCCAGCTTCGTGTATATGAGACGCATCCAGGCTGCATGTGTATATGACGCCCTGGGGTGACCAGAAATGCTAGTAATGCTTCCGGTCGCCAAGTAGCTAGCTAGCTAGCAATGTTTGTCTTTAAGGAGTTGACAGAACTGAAGAAGTCTCTTGGATGAGGGACGAAACGTCTTCTATGGACAATCATTGCCAAGTTCATAGCTTTCTCTGTAGTCTACAAAATGCCAGAGCCATTAAGCCAATCAGAAATTAAAATGTGTTGCCCTTACAAGGCAACATGAATGCGCAGGCACATACAGAGTGGAAGTTGGAAGCGCAAGACACGACTGATGCAATAACAGTAGTTTTTTTTTTTTAGCGTTTTAATTTTACGATTCCTGGACAAAGTCACTTGCCTGGGATCAAAGATAGTCAGAGCGGCTGATGTTGGGGAGTGTAGCAAAATGCGTGCTAAATTATTATTGATGCAGACAAAAACTCTACAACCTCTTTGCAACCAGAAGTTTCGCTTTTTTAGCCAGTGGTGAGCAAAGTAACCTAGGCCTATTCAGATCCTTTAAAAAGTACCAATACCTCATTGTGAAAATACTGCATTGAAAAAGTTCAGTAAAAATACATAAGTAGGCTATAAGCAGGAAAATGTAGAAGTAGCCTATTAAGAATAAAATAAATGTTTTTACATGAAAAATGACTAATACCAAAACATGTTACGGGTGGCGTGGGGACAGAGAGGACCCAAATGCAATGTTCAGAGGGAGTTTTATTGGGGGAAAAAGGGTTAGAGGGACTGGAGTGGAGGGAGAGGTGGATGCCGGGTAAACACAGGCACGGGGAACCGAGGAGACTGGGACCAGAGAGCCAGGGAACACTGGGGCCGAGGAGGCGAGGGAGAACTGGGAGGACGCCGAGGGGGAAGTCAGAGGAGGAGAGGACCGGGGGATGAGCCCAGCCGACTGAACGGAGGACGAGGGTGAGTGAACCTGGGAGGGAAACAGACAGAGAGACAGGGTTAGAGACAATGGAGACAAAGCACAGGGAAATGAAAGTAATCAAAATACATGCAAGCTTGAGCACAGGGGTGGCACCGGGTATGGAGCAACGACAATCAAGCAAGGATGGTGTGAAGAACCGGGGTTGAAATACAGGCAGGGATGAGGTTGACTACTGGCAGGTGTGGCAGGCTGACGAGGTGGCTGATGAGGTGCAGGTGCAGGTTGTAGGCTGGGCTCAGGAGCGGAGAGGAGAGAGAGAGAGAGAGAGAGAGAGAGAGAGAGAGAGAGAGAGAGAGAGAGAGAGCACACACAGGGGAGGAAACACGGGGAGGCAGGCAGAGAACAGAGAAAACCAGGGAAAAAGCAGAATAACTGAAGAAAAGGAGAAAAACCCAGGACACTCACCGTCACCCGGGCTGCCACCACAACAAAACAGATGCCAATTACATTTATGTCAACTGTTAAGTAATTTAATTCAATCAAAACATCCTATTTTTGAAACTCTTCATACATTTTGTGTGTAAAAAAGCTTATTTTTTAAAGTAACTAGTAACTGAAGCTGTCAGATAAAGTAAAGTAGATATTTCCCTTTGAGATGTGGTGAAGTAGAATAAGAAAGTTGCATGA